ATTCAGGGGGCCAAGAGGCTCAACTCTCGCCAGGCCAGGTGGGCGTTGTTCTTCACCAGGTTCCGGTTCACGATCTCATACCCTGTGTACCTGGTGGAGAAGGACGACCCCATGGTCCCCAGTGCCCTGATTGCTGCCCCAGTTTCGTGGGGAATCGATAGGCTGGTCAGAGCAGCTCTATGGCGGGAGCCCGATCCGGACGGAGGTCCATCGGGGAGGATGTACGTACCCAAGGCTGCGCTCTTGTGACTGCTTCAGTGGGCGCACACGTCCTACCTCACCAGCAATCCAGGGGGTGCCAGGACGTTGGAGTTCCTGCGTAGGAGGTTCTGGTGGCCATCAGCTGATGGGGATATGCGCGCCTTCGTGGCTGCTTGCCCGGTGTGCGCGCGCACGTTGAGCTCACGTCAGCCCGCGGCAGGGCTGCTCTGACCCCTGCCTATCCCCAAGCGCCCCTATTCCCCGAGCAAGAGGAGGAGGCGTCGGTCTCGTCGGGCCAGGCCCACATCAGTCGCTGTCACCGCACCTGGAGGCAGGTATGGGCGGTGCTTAAGCGGGCCTCTGTAAGGTTTCAACATCAGGCCAACCGCAGGCGTTGCCCGGCCCCGGTTTTTCGCCCGGGACAGAGGGTGTTGCTCTCCAAGCGGGATCTTCCCCTCCGCGGGGAGTCCAGGAAGCTGTCCCCCTGGTTCGTCGGGCTTTTCAGAGTATCCGGCGAGTCAACCCAGTGGCCTACCGCCTGCAATTTCCCCCCACCATGCAGGTGCATCCCCCGTTCCATGTGTCCCTCCTCAAGCCCGTCGCCACCTGTCCCCTGGTTCCCCCTCCTCGTCCTGTTCCCCCGCTGCGCCTCCTCGGAAGGCAGCCGGCTTTTACTGTGGACCAGATCCTGAACTGCCGGCGGGGGGCACTGTTACAGGAGGGGGTCGCAGTTCTGGAGCGACCCACTAGGTGTCATCCTCCGACAACCTTAGGCACCTCCTCACTCACAGTCTGGACTAATCATTATCTTATTGGTGTCACCTGTGTCTACCTGTTCACCTGTGTATTTTTGCCCTCACTTCCCTGTGTTCCCTTGCTCTGTATTCTCTGCTAGTTCTCGATGCCAAACAGTACTAATCAGTGTCTGATCGTGAGACATATGTACAGGTACTTGAGAAGTGTTCTTCCTGTTTCGTTGTTTTCAGTCATAGTTAGTATTTTGTATGTTTGCTGTCAGCCTGTTTTTGGAGACCAATTTGCTCCTCCTTTATTTTTTCGTGACAAATCCATTATTTTGTATCCTGGTTTTGGGATCACCAGTAAAGATCCTTGTTTCACCATCACTGCCTACTGCCTATCCTGCACCGCACCGGGTCACACCTCACACCAACCCTTACATAAATCCAGTGAATGGCAGACTTCGATGACAAAGTCTGATGACAAAATTTGCCTACGAAGGACCGCATCGCTACCTTCCTGTTCAAGTGAGCACAGCACAACAAGGTGAGTCCAAAAATGTACTGTATGCTGCTGCATAAATGATGTAATATGCCAGGGAGATATGTATACTGTAGCTAAGAAAGTAATACTAAATGTATGTTGTGTAGTAAGCTGTTAGTAGCCCATGTGCCTCACCCTAATAATTGGGTCTATTTTTCCCTCTTAATTTCGCCTACTGTTCTGACTTGGTGGGGCACATATAGCCTATAACCTGTTTTAGAGAAATGTATTTCATCAAATATTGTAAGAGCTTTCATTGTCTACTTATATGCCCCCCTTATTTATTCTACGGTTCTGACTTGGTGTACAGGGAGAACACTGTAAGAACGGCCCATGTTCTGAATTCTGACTCTGTACATTTCAAAAGTGCTGAACAAATAGTTATATTGACTAGGCCCGTCCTAGCTCGCTCATTTTTCATTTTTTATTTCACCTTTATTTAACCAGGTAAACCAGTTGAGAACAAGTTCTCATTTACAAATGCGACCTGGCCAAGATAAAGCAAAGCAGTGCGATAAAAACAACAACAACACAGAGTTACATATGGAATACACAAAAACGTACAGTCAATAACACAATAGAAAATAGAGAATCTATATACAGTGTGTGCAAATGTAGTAAGTTATGGAGGTAAGGCAATAAATAGGCCATAGTGCAAAATAATTACAATTTAGTATTAACACTGAAGTGATAGATGTGCAGAAGATGATGTGCAAATAGAGATACTGGGCTGCAAATGAGCAAAATAAATAACAATGTAAATAACAATATGGGGATGAGGTAGTTGGGTGGGCTAATTACAGATGGGCTGTGTACAGTTACAGTGATCGGTAAGCTGCTCTGACAACTGATGCTTAAAGTTAATGAGGGAGATGTGTCTCCAGCTTCAGAGATTTTTGTAGTTCGTTCCAGTCATTTTCAGCAGAGAACTGGAAGGAATGGCGGCCAAAGGAGGTGTTGGCTTTGGGGATGACCAGTGAGATATACCTGCTGGAGCGCATACTACGGGTGGGTGTTGCTATGGTGACCAATGAGCTAAGATAAGGCAGGGATTTGCCTAGAAGTGATTTACAGATGACCTGGAGCCAGTGGGTTTGGCGACGAATATGTAGTGAGGGCCAGCCAACGAGAGCGTACAGGTCACAATGGTGGGTAGTATATGGGGCTTTGGTGACAAAACAGATGGCACTGTGATAGACTACATCCAATTCGCTGAGTTGAGTGTTGGAAGCTATTTTGTAAATGACATCGCCGAAGTCAAGGATCGGTAGGATAGTCAGTTTTACAAGGGCATGTTTAGCAGCATGAGTGAAGGAGGCTTTGTTGCGAAACAGGAAGCCGATTCTAGATTTAACTTTGGATTGGAGATGCTTAATGTGAGTCTGGAAGGAGAGTTTACGGTCTAACCAGACACCTAGGTATTTGTAGTTGTCCACATATTCTAAGTCAGACCAGCCGAGAGTAGTGATTCTAGTCGGGCGAGCGGGTGCAAGCATCGTTCGATTGAAGAGCATGCATTTAGTTTTACTAGCGTTTAAGAGCAGTTGGAGGCCACGGAAGGAGTGTTGTATGGCATTGTCCAATGAAGGGCCAGATGTATACAAAATGGTGTCGTCTGCGTAGAGGTGGATCTGAGAGTCACCAGCAGCAAGAGCGACATCATTGATATACACAGAGAATAGAGTCGGCCCGAGAATTGAACCCTGTGGCACCCCCATAGAGACTGCCAGAGGTCCAGACAACAGGCCCTCCGATTTGACACATTGAACTCTATCTGAAAAATTGTTGGTGAACCAGGCGAGGCAGTCAGTTGAGAAACCAAGGCTATTTAGTCTGCCAATAAGAATGCGGTGGTTTACAGAGTCAAAGGCCTTGGCTAGGTCGATGAAGACGGCTGCACAGTACTGTCTTTTATCAATCGCGGTTATTATATTGTTTAGGACCTTGAGCGTGGCTGAGGTGCACCCATGACCAGCTCGAAAACCAGATTGCATAGCGGAGAAGGTTCGGTGGGATTCGAAGTGGTCGGTGATCTGTTTGTTAACTTGGCCTTCAAATAATTTCAAAAGGCAGGGTAGGATGGATATAGGTCTGTAACAGTTTGGATCTAGAGTGTCACCCCCTTTGAAGAGGGGGATGACTGCGGCAGCTTTCCAATCTCTGGGGATCTCAGACGATACGAAAGAGAGGTTGAGCAGGCTAGTAATAGGGGTTGCAACAATTTCGGCTGCTAATTTTAGAAAGAAAGGGTCCAGATTGTCCTAGCCCAGTTGATTTGTAGGGGTCCAGATGTTGCAGCTCTTTCAGGACATCAGCTATCTGAATTTGGGTGAAGGAGAAGCGGGGGGGGGGGGGCATGGGCAGGTTGCAGCGGAGGGTGCAGAGCTGGCGGCCGGGGTAGGGGTAGCCAGGTGGAAAGTATGGCCAGCCGTAGCAAAATGCTTATTGAAATTCTCGATTATCGTAGATTTATCGGTGGTGACAGTGTTTCCTAGCCTCAGTGCTGTGGGTAGCTGGGAGGAGGTGCTTTTATTCTCCATGGACTTTACATTGTCCAAAAACTTTTTTGGAGTTAGTGCTACAGGATGCAAATTTCTGTTTGAAAAAGCTAGCCTTTGCTTTCCTAACTGATTGTGTATATTGGTTCCTGACATCCCTGAAAAGTTGCATATCGTGGGGGCTGTTCGATGCTAATGCAGTACGCCACAGGATGTTTTTGTGCTGGTCAAGGGCAGTCAAGTCTGAGGAGAACCAGGGGCTATATCTGTTCGCAGACCCATTACGGACGCAGGCAATGAGGCAGTGATCGCTGAGTTTCTGGTTGAAGACAGCGGGGGTGTATTTAGAGGGTAAATTAGTCAGGATGATATCTATGAGGGTGCCCATGTTTACGGATTTAGGGTTGTACCTGGTAGGTTCCTTGATATTTTGTGTGAGATTGAGGGCATCTAGTTTAGATTGTAGGACGGCCGGGGTGTTAAGCATATCCCAGTTTAGGTCTTAATCAAAATTACGGATTGCCTCTTATCCGCTTGTCCCCTTATGCCATAGTTTGTACATCTCAATTGTCAGTAGAAACCACATTTATTTAAGCAGGTCAGCCATATCAGCTATGTTTTTTTTAAAGGCAGTAAATTCGCTGCCAGACAAGGCTACATAGCCAGGTGTAGCAACGGTAAGATGTTGGGACTCTGCTGTTGGGACAGCTTTATGGAGGCCCTAACAGCTTTATGTAGGCCCTAACAGTTTATGGGCATGGTATGTTACCGTTATAGTGCAATTAATGTAGCCTATTGTTTAGTGTTCTGTCATGTTGTGGCTTCGCTGGCATGCATCCCCCCACCAATATTTACATGCTCAAATCGCCGCTGAATTTCTTATGTAAAATATTAATTTAACTGAGGCCACTTTAACAGGTTTTATAAGGCTACACATGCTCCGACTACTGTAGTACTTCTTACCCCCGCCCCGTTATATTACAGCGTTACAGCAGAGACCGAAATCCCTGAATCGTGGGACAATGTCCAAGGCTGATGCGACTCGGTAAAGGAGGGTGGGAGAGGTCTGGGCGGGGAGTAGACTATCAAGCGCATAATCTGGCAAGCACTTGGAACCGTGTGTGCATTTTCATGATCGGATGATCGTTTAGCCCTAAATTTAATGTCGTTACAAATTTAATTTCTCTCTTCCATTTTGATTTATTTTTCTATTGCGTTGTACAATGTAGGCTATAGCCTTACGTGCGTGCGTCCAGTTCCAATCTTATTGCGCAAAACATATGCCATATTAGGGCAAGGCCTACCATATCTAAATAAACTGATCATCCAGGAGTTATGAATATCTATTTTGCAATATTTGCCTTCATGGCACCTGTTGTTATTGTTATGATAACGGTAGGAGTATCATGTGTAATTCATCGAAGGAGGCACAGTCGCATTGAACGCTCACTTCAATGATGGACGCTCTGGTTCGTGAGTAGCCTGTGTCTGTGATCGTGTCAGTGTGTGATTTGTCTGTGTTTACATGTTTTGTTGTTTTTCCGTTGTAGTTATAGCCTATGACATTTTATAGGCTAATGATGATGCATGCGGACAAATCTTCCCTTCACCCCTCCTTGTGGCGGGGCAGAAATACCCCCCCCCCCCCACTTCAGTTTCTATCCTCTCCGGGAGCATCACTCCGATTACCATGGAAGAAACCTTCCTATCATGGCGGCTAGATTCCAGGTGAAGGTAAGAAATGCGCTGTTCTGGAAACCAAGACGGTAACAGCCAGACATCGCATTGCACAGCAATTTGCCTTGTAATAGGCTATTTGGACAAATTGCTTGTGAGTACCAGTGGATTGTAGAGTAGCCTGCCTGCACTCAAATTTTTTTGGGGGGAATCCTGTTGTTTTTTTGGTAACTACCTGGCTGCCAGTAATTTAGGGGAGACCAGGGATGGTTGTAACATGGGATAGTTGTAACACTCAATATCTCCAATGAGGAACAAGCTAGAATTATGTGACTGGCTGTGCACATGCTTAGTTTAGTTGTCAACCCTCATGTGAAGAAGCAAGGCCCTGTGATATACAGCAAATTTTATTGACAAGAATCTGATTTTGAGGTAAGAAATACGTTCTTTTTTTTTTACCAAATCAGTTTTTGTGATGGCATCACCGGCTTTGTAGTTAGATTCACCAAACTTTTATCAGATTTATAACCAGTGTGTGTAGATATATTTGATGTAAGTTAACAATGCAAGGGTCAGGGTTAGTTGTAACAAGCCTTAGGAGGAATGGGTGCAGTGCTTGGTATGCATATTATAGGCCTGTCATGCCAAATAGTGTGCCCCCCCCCCCCCCCCCCCCCCTCGCAAGGGGTCTGAATACTTTCTGAATGCACTGTAAATAAGTAGGTAGCGATGTCAATCTAAAATAAATCTAAAAACAGCTTCAATTATTTTTTCCTATTTAACAATATTTTGTTGTATAAAGACAAATATATGGCAAAGAAAGAGTTTTCTCTTTTTTGTATTTTCGGTCTTCTGAATCAGTAGGTAGTCACTGATTCTGAGGTAATATACACTGCTCAAAAAAATAAAGGGAACACTTAAACAACACAATGTAACTCCAAGTCAATCACACTTCTGTGAAATCAAACTGTCCACTTAGGAAGCAACACTGATTGACAATACATTTCACATGATGTTGTGCAAATAGAATAGACAACAGGTGGAAATTATAGGCAATTAGCAAGACACCCCCAATAAAGGAGTGGTTCTGCAGGTGGTGACCACAGACCACTTCTCAGTTCCTTTGCTTCCTGGCTGATGTTTTGGTCACTTTTGAATGCTGGCGGTGCTTTCACTCTAGTGGTAGCATGAGACGGAGTCTACAACCCACACAAGTGGCTCAGGTAGTGCAGCTCATCCAGGATGGCACATCAATGCGAGCTGTGGCAAGAAGGTTTGCTGTGTCTGTGTCTGTGCTGTGCCAGAGCATGGAGGCGCTACCAGGAGACAGGCCAGTACATCAGGAGACGTGGAGGAGGCCGTAGGAGGGCAACAACCCAGCAGCAGGACCGCTCCCTCCGCCTTTGTGCAAGGAGGAATAGGTGGAGCACTGCCAGAGCCCTGCAAAATGACCTCCAGCAGGCCACAAATGTGCATGTGTCTGCTCAAACGGTCAGAAACAGACTCCATGAGGGTGGTATGAGGGCTGACGTTCACAGGTGGGGGTTGTGCTTACAGCCCAACACCGTGCAGGACGTTTGGCATTTGCCAGAGAACTCCAAGATTGGCAAATTCGCCACTGGCGCCCTGTGCTCTTCACAGATGAAAGCAGGTTCACACTGAGCACATGTGACAGACGTGACAGAGTCTGGAGACGCCGTGGAGAACGTTCTGCTGCCTGCAACATCCTCCAGCATGACCGGTTTGGCGGTGGGTCAGTCATGGTGTGGGGTGGCATTTCTTTGGGGGGCCGCACAGCCATCCATGTGCTCGCCAGAGGTAGCCTGACTGCCATTAGGTACCGAGATGAGATCCTCAGACCCCTTGTGAGACCATATGCTGGTGCGGTTGGCCCTGGGTTCCTCCTAATGCAAGACAATGCTAGACCTCATGTGGCTGGAGTGTGTCAGCAGTTCCTGCAAGAGGAAGGCATTGATGCTATGGACTGGCCCGCCCGTTCCCCAGACCTGAATCCAATTGAGCACATCTGGGACATCATGTCTCGCTCCATCCACCACAGATGCTTTAGTCCAGGTCTGGGAGGAGATCCCTCAGGAGACCATCTGCCACCTCATCAGGAGCATGCCCAGGCGTTGTAGGGAGGTCATACAGGCACGTGGAGGCCACACACACTACTGAGCCTAATTTTGACTTGTTTTAAGGACATTACATCAAAGTTGGATCAGCCTGTAGTGTGGTTTTCCACTTTAATTTTGAGTGTGACTCCAAATCCAGACCTCCATGGGTTGATACATTTGATTTCCATTGATAATTTTTGTGTGATTTGTTGTCAGCACATTCAACTATGTAAAGAAAAAAGTATTTAATAAGATTATTTCATTCATTCAGATCTAGGATGTGTTATTTGAGTGTTCCCTTAATTTTTTTGAGCAGTGTATTTGCGCGGACCGAGCGAGCGCTTATGATGTGAAATAGATCTAGAACGGCCCACGTCCTCCCTCCCTCCGCGACGCTACGACGTAAAATAGACGTAAAAACCTTGTCCGTTTGATTTAGAGAAATAACACCTATACCAATTTGTAAGTTGTTCGTATCAAATTTTGAATTTAGTAGCTCAAACAATCTCTGAGAAATTAACAAAAATGCAAAAAGTGTTACAACCATCCTCAGTCTTCCCTACCTACAAACAAGTTTTTTATTTTATTTTTTATTTTATTTTTTACAGTGTGGCTATTACTTGTTTAATCGGCTGATTAGACTGAAGCGCAAAACATTACATTGATCAATAGGGTAGAATGCAGGAACTTATAAAATAAATACTTTTAAAATACTGTTGAGAAAAGCACATTATTCTTCTGTTAATGATTTTTTCCCTAAAGGTGTACTGTTCATAACTGTTTAATTCTTTACCTACACTACTTTGTCAGAAAAATACTTAGAATGTCTCCAACATTAACATTCATTTACTGTTTATGCATTCAAAACAAGAGTTCAAATGTCAGTTACCTGTGTGATATCATCGGTCTGAGTAAACTTATCAATTTAACATGTATATTCTGAATGTGGTAAGCTCCTACTTACATTATGTAGTTTTACTTACTTACTTACTGACTTAGTCCTCTGTATTCCTACGCAAAACATAAGGCATTCTACATGTAAACTGCTTGCCTAGTAGCCTACTTATAATAGTTTCCACCCCCAGGATCACCATCAGTCTCAGACACCATGGCACAGCCCACACCCCTGGAAGCCTCCCTGGGAGCCCTCATCATGGCATTTCACAAGCACGCTGGCAGTGGAGAGAGAGCTAACCAACCTCATCAAGGCAGAGCTGCCCAACATCGCTGGGGTGAGTCATTGCAACACCTCGGGCCAGTTTCCCGGACACAGATTAAGCCTATAGTCCTGGACTAAATAGCACTTTCAATTAAGATTATCCATTGCACATGCTTTTAAAAAAGATGGAATCCGCAGTGAGGACATGGTCGGCCCCACCGCTGTTGTTATTGTTTTTTCTTTGTTGACAAGGCATTGGTGAGGAGCGTCTTGCAATGTGGTAAAAATGAAACGCAGTACATATTCTGCTGTTTTATCGCGCGTGCAATGATATCCGAGTGAAAAGTATAAATTGTTTGCGGTAACTTTTTTGTTGTAATATCGCAAACGGTCGTGGCAGTGCGGTAACTTTTTTGTTGTAATATCGCAAACGGTCGTGGCAGAGTCACCATTAGGGATTCCAGTTTTAAAGTCCAGGACTAGGCTTAATCTATGTCTATGTCCCTCAAGAGCTAGCAAATGCTATTCTAATGCTATTTTTTATTGTTATGTGTTGTGATTTTAATAAAAAATGTACATGAAATAAAGTTTAATTGAGATTGACTGATTATAATCTCATTCATTTAGTAGCCTACTAATGACAGCAAAGTATTGATATCCTAAGGTATTGTCTTCCTTGTGATCCAATTCCCTGCCCACACGTTCTCTTGACATGTGTGAAGTGTCAGCCATTCAGTGCGATTGACAACAAAATACTGAAATCCTAATGTATTGCGTCTTCCTTGTGATCTTATATTACATTGACATGAGCAGAAGGGTGGTCCTGAAGGAGATGACCTGATGATGATGCTGGACCAGGACGGTGACGGCGCTGTGAACTTGAAGGAGTACATTACCCTGATTGAATCCCTTGCCTGCATGTGCAACTGCGTCCTGGAAGGGAAAATGTGTTTGCATTTCATATAAAGACCCGCCTGCTTCCATCTGCTTTCTACAGTGTATTGCATTAGGCCTACATGTCACACTAATAATGTCACATATCTCATTGAGTAAATTGGGTAAATGCCCTCCTCTCTGTGTCCACACGCATGCACGCACGCCCGCCCGCACGCACACATAGACACAAAGGGTTGCATAACTCTGCAATAACTATGAGACTGATCCTCAAATACATGCACCCACATGGATTCTTTTGTCAGAAAGTAGCTCAGTTGGTAGTGCATGGCGCTTGCAACGACAGGATAGTGGGTTTGAGTCCTGGGAACACCGGTACGTAAAATGTACGCGCGCATGACTAAGTCGCTTTTGATAAAAGCGTCTGCTAAATGGCTTGTATTGTTATATTAAGATCTCAAGAATGCTGCTAAACAGAGCATAGCATGTGAGATAGTAAACAGAGTGTGTAAGCTATGTGTAGTCCTAAGTATTTACTGTAATATGTTTTATCTTTGATGCTAATAAATGGGCAAAAGACCCAACCAAAGATCCACGTTTGTAAAGCGGTTTGTTTTGCACGCGTTTATGAACATTTGCAATCCTGCCTGTGCTATAGACTTTAGTGTCCTTTTTCATTCTGTTTATAAAGCAGTAGCAATTTTTTATGTAAAATATAAATTAATTACACGTTTTTGGGGGTGTCACTCATTTTAGTAACAGGCCGGGTTTATTACGCATGCTCCGACTACTGTAGTCCTTCTCACCCGACAGAGACAAAAAAACATGAATCGTGGCAGAATTTCCGAGGCTGATGCGATTCGGTAAAGGAAGGTTGAGAGACGTCTGGGTGGGGAGTAGCCTACCAAGCGCATAATCTGGCAGCATTTGGAATGGTGTGTGTATTTTCTTGATCGCTTACATTTAATTTCGTTACAAATTCAATTTCTCTCTTCCATTTGGCTTTATTTTTTATATTGTTAAGGTAAAGGGTTGTAGGCTCATGCGCATGCGTCCATTTCCAAGAACCTTAATGCGCAAAACAGATGCCTATTAGGGCTAAATACGCTATAGTGATCCAGGAGTTATGAATATCTATTTTGCAATTTTTGCCTTCATGGCACCTGTTGTTATTGTTATGATAACGGTAGGCCTATCATGTCTAATTCATCGAAGGAGGCACAGTCGGATTGAACGCTCACTTCTTCAATGATGGACGCTCTGGTTCGTATTAGTGTGCGTAGCATGTGTCTGGTCATGTCAGTGTTTTGTATATGTTTACATGTTTTGTTTCCCCGTTGTAGTCTACTAATAGCCTATGACAATTTATAGGCTAATGATGCAGGCAGTAGCTTAAAGCCTAGGCTACCAGAAACAGATCACCATTTATTTTCAGGTGTCTGATTCGCCCCCATATGCACCTGTCGGACCACTCTTATTAGTCTACGTAATAATTTCCAACATTTAACACGGCACAATGTAACACACTAATATATTTTTTTATGTAATATAGGCCTGTCAATATGCAATTTTCTAGAAAAGCTATTCCCCTTCCAACACATTCCTCTATCTTGAATGTGGTCATGAATTCGTTATGATGGCCTAAATAGTCTTCAACCTAGACCAAAAGGAAACATATATTTATGTTTTAAATAACACTATTCTTTACCATACTATTCCCATTAGGCAATATGCCAATTTCTATTCAATTCACCTGCAAATATGTGGATGCCTACCAAATGTATTGAACCACTTATAGGCCTATTATAGGCGTTACCCATTTTGGTGCATATGTTTAAGAACAAGGCTAGGTGCTCTATAATGACAAAACAAACACCAAAAATTGGTAAAAAAATGTCGACACTATGCCTATTCAAATGCAACATTAGACACACTGGAAACAAACAAAGAAGCCGTGCAAGTAAAATGCTACACATTTTGTGCGTGCTCCGGGGATGCGCAGGGACGGATGCTCGTTACCATGGATACGGGATGCAGGAACGCGGCGCGGTCTTGCGCTGTGCAGGGGGAGATAAAAAAAAAAAAAACGAGGGTACAGAATATTGCACAGCGCAATAGGCTAACCTAGTTAAAAAAAAAAAAAAAGAGAACAATGAGAGACTGAAAATCACTCTTTTTACGCACTATATCAACAGGATTGAAAAGGGAGTCCTTAAAATATTTTGCATCTCACAAATCTCACATGCCACACCTTGCGGGGCAGAAATAGACCTACCCCCTGCTTTCAGTTTCTACTATCACCTCTGGGAGCGACGCTCTGATTACCATGGAAGAAACCTTCATATCATGGCGCCTAGATTCCAGCTGAAGGTAAGAAATGCGCTGTAGCACAACGCGTGTTCTGGAAATCCGGTTTCAGACAGACATCCCATTGCAAATCAATTTGCGCTGTAATATGGAATATAGGTCCTATTTGGAAAACTAATTTGTGGGCGTCAATAGATTGTAGCCAGTGTAGCATAGCCTGTCTAACCTATTGCTAATTTAGTCGGCTGCTGTTTTGAATAGAACAAGAAAGGACAGGACGGAGTTGACATTGGTGAATGACAGCGAGACAGGGTCTCTAACCATGTCCTGCTGGTAGATTATAAATTATATTTCTTTAACCTCCAGGTCTGCATGTTTTTTTATGATGTGATGTGTGTGTGTGGATGGCTCGGTATTGCTTCATATAATTAAAAAAATCACTTTGGTGCAATTTTCACAACTCTAAGCACAAAAATGAAAACTAGAATGGCTCATGTTTCAAAACTCTAAGCACATTTTAAATTGACTGAGTACAACAAATGAATTCACAGTCACTTGTTTACTGCACCAAATCACTCTTTCAAGTTGGATACATATTCAATCTAAGTGTCTTATTTTCAAAATGCAATAGGCCTACTTTTGATATGATTTTCTTGTCATTTGTTAACAATACAATTAACTATCACTTAATCAAACTGCTCAAAACTGTTAACTGCTGAACCTAAATTATGTAGTGGCTAGTTAATGTATATACACTGAACAAAAAATTTTACGCAACATGCAACAATTTAAACGATTTTACTTACATAAAGTTCATATAATCTGTCGATGTGCCCTTAAGCAAGGCACTTAACCCTAATTGCTCCTGTAAGTCGCTCTGGATAAGAGCGTCTGCTAAATGACTAAAATGTAAATGTAAATATAAGGTAATCAGTCAATTGAAATAAATAAATTAGGTGCTAATCTATGGATTTCACGACTGGGAATACAGATATGCATCTGTACGTTCCAAGATGGCGTAGCAGTACGGTCGCTTTTATTTTTCGTCCTGTGTAAATATCCCGTTTCTTGTTTTTTTGTCTATATTTCTCAATTTTTTACTTTCATTCTTTAACTAAATATACTCTCCTGCAACCCGCCTCACCCAACGTGGAAAGGATTCTATTATTTCTTTATAACTTTCATCAAGAACCGTAAACTGAAACGTGTGTAGCCGCAATCTGAATTGGCTACCTGCTATTAGTTACCGTTAGCGTCTTCACCACTGTCCGTGGCCTACACTATCCACCAGCCAGCTCTAGCTAGCCTGGACAATTCGTCGGCCAGTCTGCACAGCGTGCTATCGACCCAGCGTGCTATCGACCCATAGCTTATTGGACTTTCTGCCGGAATCACTGGACCCTAGCGCCGGATCATCACAACCAGCTAGCTAGCTGCAACTAAATGGCTACCTGTTATTAGTCACCGTTAGCGTCTTCACCATTGTCCGTGGCCTACACTATCCACCAGCCAGCTCTAGCTAGCCTGGACAATTCGTCGGCCAGTCTGCACAGCGTGCTATCGACCCAGCGTGCTATCGACCCATAGCTTATTGGACTTTCTGCCGGAATCACTGGACCCTAGCGCCGGATCATCACAACCAGCTAGCTAGCTGCAACCTGTTGCTGGCTGATTACCATTACCATTGCCATATAGCAAGCACCAGTTAGCCTTGAGCTAGCCTGCTAGCTCCCTGCTAGCTGTGCTGAAGCACCAATTTGAACTGCTCTCGGACTCACATATTGCTGTTCACTGGACCTTATGATCACTCAGCTGCACAGCTGATGCCTGCTGGACTGTTCCTTTACACGGTACTCTGTCCTGTTTATTCTGTTTAGTCTTAGCCCAAACGTTATCGCTATTTCCAGTTGTGTCTTAGCTCTCTCTAATAACACGTGACTGCTTTATGCCTCTCTCCAATGTCAATTATGCCTTGCCTATTGCTGTTTGGGTTAGTTCTTATTATACAATTTCAATGTAGAACCCCTAGTCCCTCTCAAACTGTCTCATATAGTTCCTTTGTTCCTCCCCCCATACACGCCGAGACCGGCTCAATCGATGCCTCCAATGACGCTATCTCTTTCATTGTTACCCAACACTTAGGATTACCTGAACTGTACTCATATCCTTCCATATCCTTTTCTGTACATAATGCCCTGAATCTTTTCTACAACTGTCCCCTTTATTCTATGTACCCAACGCACTAGAAGACCAGTTCTTAAAGCCTTTAGTCGTATCCTTATTCTAGTCCTCCTCTGTTCCTCTGGTGATGTAGAGGCTAACCCAGGCCCTGCAGCCCCCAGTATCACTCCTACTCCCCAGGAGCTATCATTTGTTGACTTCTGTAACCGTAAAAGTCTTGGTTTTCTGCACATAAATATCAGAAGCCTCCTTCCTAAGTTTGAGTTATTCACTGCGTTAGCACACTCCGCCAACCCTGATGTTCTAGCAGTGTCTGAATCCTGGCTTAGGAAGGCCACCAAAAATTCTGAAATTTCCATCCCCAACTATAACATTTTCCGTCTAGATAGAACTGCCAAAGGGGGTGGAGTTGCAATCTACTGTAGAGAGAGCCTGCAGAGCTCCATCATACTATCCAGGTCTGTGCCCAAACAGTTTGAGCTTTTACTTCTAAAAATCCACCTTTCCAGAAATAAATCTCTCACTGTTGCCGCTTGCTACAGACCCCCCTCAGCCCCCAGCTGTGCCCTGGACACCATATGTGAATTGATTGCCCCCCATCTATCCTCAGAGTTCGTACTGCTTGGTGACCTAAATTGGGATATGCTTAATACCCCAGCCATCCTACAATCCAAGCTAGATGCCCTCAACCTCACGCAAATTATCAACGAACCTACCAGGTACAACCCTAAATCCGTAAACATGGGTACCCTCATAGATATCATCCTGACTAACTTACCCTCTAAATACACCTCCGCTGTCTTCAACCAGGATCTCAGCGATCACTGCCTTATTGCCTGCGTCCGTAACGGGTCCGCGGTCAAACGACCACCCCTCATCACTGTCAAACGCTCCCAAAAACACTTCAGCGAGCAGGCCTTCCTAATTGACCTGGCCCAGGTATCCTGG